AGTCACGAGTCGACTTACACGATATATATATATATATATATATATATATAGATAGATAGATAGATAGATAGAGAGAGAGAGAGAGAGAGAGAGAGAGAGAGAGAGATAGGAGGATATACATCCAGGGAGAGTGCTATGTCAATTAACAGAGCAAAATTATTATTAAGTAAAGAATATGAAACACTTAAAATCTCATCGGTAATAATTTTTATTTCATGAGAGCTCTAAAATAAAAGCAGCTCTCAATCTTCAAGACCTACAAATAAATCAGAAATGAAATGGAATAAATATGCCGGGTTAAAACCAAGAGATATTGCTATTTTATTTAGAGAGTGGGAAAGGCAGAGTGTGTTGACCTATTTTGCTATACTGACCTCAGCGTTTCATTTGAGAATGGTGTAAGGGTTTGAGGATGGTGGAATGGCTTAAAATGTAGTTATTTCAATGTGAACAATACCGTCTGTTTCTATCAACAGCCAAATTTCAATGCTGTTATATTTTTTCAATAAATTATTTGTAAATAATGTTAAATGAGGATATTTTTAAAGATTTCGAAATTAGCGAAAAAATTTTCATAACCTTTTTATATAATTAACCAAGAAATTTAAATTAAAATACCTAAGAAATTTGAATTACATGATTATTAATTATATTCAGAGAAACATATTTATAAAGGTTATATACCTAGAGTCTTGAACTTTTATATCCTAGATGTATTTATTAATATTTAGCAGGATATGAATGTACTTTAACCTAAAGAAAAGTTAGATCGGGGTTGATCCCCTGTATTTCATTCAACAAATTCTCTGTAAATAATATTAAAATAGTTTCTCGTCCAGAACATTTTTAAAAAGATATTAGCGAAAAACATTTTAGAAAAATTAAATTTAAATTAGTATAAGCTTTTTTGTATAATTAACCAAGAAATTTAATTTAAAAAACCTAAGAGATTTGAATTAAATGATTGTTAATTATATCGAGAGAAACATATGTATAAAGATTCTATTCCTAGATCCTGAACTTTTATGTCTTAGATGTATTTATTAAGATTTAGCATGATATGAATGCACTTTAACCTACGGTGAAGTTAGATAGAGGCTAATCCCCTAGTGTATATTTATTAAGTTTATGAGTTTAGTTAAAGACGTATTCCACATTAATTTAAAAGAGACCCGTTTAACCCGATTAACGCATATCATCCAACTTGGTCAAAAATATTTTTATATATGCACTTATATATATATATATATATATATATATATATATATATATATATATATATATATATATATATTCTTCATCCATAATGCATACACTGCAACAAGATTAGTCATAATGAAACATATCACTAGTATAAATAAGTAAACAACATAATAAAAAATAAACATATTAAAATTATAAATAATAATAAAAATCCGAAACATACATGGCAAACAATAGTTTCAGTTAGAAACATATATTCCCATATTCCCATATATACATCCTTATATATATATATATATATATATATATATATATATATATATATATATATATATATTAAAACATCACTACAAAAATAGCCATTTTATTTCAACACTTCTGGTGTCTTATCATGTGATGGTGTTGAATGTAGAATTTAAAGAGATTTAAAACGTTTAAATCAACCAAACACCCCTCAATATGTGAATCGCTGTTACATAAGCTACAATGACAATAAAAATACAACTATATGAAAATTCAGAAAACTTGACAACGGACCTTGCTCATAATTATTGATGCCTTAATGTTAGTGTTAGACTAAAATGGAAATCATTCTTATTAAATTGAAAATAAATATAAAATATATAAAAATACATAAAGATATACATAAAATATTAATTAATGAAATAATTAAATAAATTGACTAAATGAATTACGAGTTAAATAAAGAACAATTTTAAGAAACTTAAAATATGCACACACAGACATATATATATATATATATATATATATAAATATATATATATATATATATATATATATATATATATATATATATTAAAATAAAAATAATAATAACAACAACAATAATAATAAAGATAATATAAAAATAAAAATAATTAATGCTTATTATAACTGATGTAGGCGAGAAAATTACACAAATGATCATATATAAAAATGTGAATGCATGTACGGATAGATGTTAGTGCCGTTATAAAACAGAATCAACACTTCAAGTGTAAATTCTCTAAAATTAATGTTATCACGGAATGTTAAATCTTTTATTGTGTCTACACTTGAAGGTAATTTCGTTCCTTTGATTCAATAATTTGTCAGAACTTTTATACTTAATCATTATGATTTTTCTTGTATGTATATTGCATCTGTCCAGAAAGTTGTTGGGAATCTGAGATATGTGTGTGTGTGCGTGCGCGCGTGTGTGTGTGTGTGTGAGTGTGTGTGTGTGTGTGTGTGTGTGTGATGAAAAGGTTTCATTCGAGACTTCGCAGATACTGAATGAAAAGATGAAATGTCCAAAAAGTTTTTAATAGAGAAATTAGTGATCATATTCCTGTCAGAATCATCCCATGTGATGCCATGCGTGTGACACGCATGAACTCACCTGTGATGTTTGTATTAGGAATTTCCTGAGAAAAGCAGAAAAATTAAGTCAATGCGAGGTCATCGTCCCAGAGCACCAACCAACAAGAAATTGGTATTAGGCATTGAGAGTTCATGCCATTTTGCGAAAGGTTTTCAAGTTAGCTCGTGGACAAAAAAGACATGAACTGACAAATATTGGCCTAATGACAAAATGTATGCTGCTCATATTTTCCAACTTTGTTCCATATATTTAAAAATTTTGTACGGTTTAAAACCGTACAAAATTTTTAAATATACACTAGGGATTAGCCACACACGTTTAAACAACTCCTTCGTACAATAATGGACACACTCGACAACGAGGTGGCAACGATCGCTTATATATATATATATATATATATATATATATATATATATATATATATATATGCGTGTGTGTATATGTGTCTCTCTATATATATATGTATCTCTCTCTCTCTCTCTATATATATATATATATATATAGAGAGAGAGAGAGACAGAACAGACAGACAGACCCTGTATTAGCTGACATCATTTAGTCTTTATACATTTCGTCGTCTTACAGACATATTTTAGTTATATCTGATATTCTACACACATTCACACACGCGCGCGTGCGCAAGCATACACACACGCACACTTACACACACACACACATATGTATATATATATATATATATATATATATATATATATATATATATATATATTGTAGATATAATTTGAGGGTGTCCATTATTCTTACGATTATCCAAATATGAATTAATGTGTCAAAAAGTAAAGACAAACGGCAAGAGAGAAAATAAATATTGAACGATGATTTGGATTTTATGAGGACGTGAGAAAAGGAAAAAACGATAAACGTTTCATCAAAGGTATTAAAAGAAAAACGCGTAGAATTATGAAGCACAGAATTTATGTGAATTTCTGAAAGTTTTTGTATAGTAAAGAGGATACAGTCGTTATTCAAAGATTTTCTTTTAATCCCACATTTTTCATTGGAGACAGTAAGCCGCATATCCTTTGTGTTCTTTCCCTTCCCTTTTTTTATCCAATCTTCCACTTCAGGTATTTCTCGTTGATGTGTTCAACATCACAGGGAAGTGACCTACACAAAATAATGTTCTTCGCAAATTGAGGACTTATATATAAATCTACTATTTATCGTCAGGAAGTTATCAGCAACTGACTGTTTATATTTCTCGTTTTTTATATATATACGCACTTTTCATTGGTGCAAGGTGGATTTTTTCTTTAATAGTGTGTGTGCGCGCGCGGGCGCGTACCCACGCGCGTGCTCATGCGCCTGTGTGAGTGTGTGTGTGCGTGTGTGTGTATGGGTGTTTGCGTCTATTTGTCTGTGTTTGTTTCTGTGCGCGTGCTTACCTGAAGATCTGGCATTCTGGAGATCGCTTGAGGTGACAAAATTCTTGATTCTTTTGTCCACACTCTCTCTCTCTCTCTCTCTCTCTCTCTCTCTCTCTCTCTCTCTCTCTACACACACGCATATATATATATATATATATATATATATATATGTATGTATGTATGTTCCATCTTCGATTCTGAGCACTCTTCTCCCACAAATAAGACACATTTTAAACACTATGGGAATAAGTTACTTGATAGGCAAAATTAAATAAATCCTATTTAAAAAGTGAATAATGGTCAATAATAAAAGAATTAGCTTCGCAAAGTTTCTTTCTTTTCTGTTCCTTATTAAACAACAGCAGAATACAACACGACCTGAATGCCGCAATAAAAAGTAACAAAAATAAAAAAAAAATTAAATACAATTCGTTGAATAAGAATTTTGTACAAATTAAAACGTTCTTTTTTTTTAATATTAAAATGTCGGACAAATTAAAAAGTTATTTTTTTTAAATATTCTTTTGCAAATTTTTTTTCAAAATACCATTCAATGATTTATCAACGATACTTTCCTCGTATTTTACATTATTTCTCCAGCCTTGTTCACGAGAAACTGAAATTATGCAGAACATTTTAAATTGCCTAGTGGTTATCTTGCATCAAACATTTTATCAGTGTCAGGTTTCACAAAGGGATTTAAAATTGCCAAATTGAATTAAATTTGAGAATCATGATATTTATTTAATTAAATAATTGTTCAGGTAGATCAATTTTTAATACCGTTCTGCTATAAAAAATGACCCTATTTGCAACCCTGGTCTGTAATGTAATTTTCGAATAAGAATATTCGCCCGATGCCAAGGACGACAAGCGAAACAGTTATTGGAAACAGTGAAAACTACAAGGTTTTTCGTAGGAGTAAAAATATTAAATGACAGTAATTCACATCTAAATAAATACTGAAATGTTTTTTTTTTGTTTTTTTTTCTGTTTTTGATATTTTATATTCATTCTATCTTTTTGCCACTGATGATTCTTTTCAGGCGATCCGTCAAAGCCATCTTCCTGTTGTTCCCGTTATTTGGAATTCAGCTACTGGCTATTACCAACCGCGTTCCATTGACAAGTGTAAATTATTTCTGGTTTAACATTGTCTCTGAAATAGTCATTGGTAGCAAGGTAAAGTCTGTTTCAAGTTTTTAACACTTTCAATGCCAATCATATAAGCAAGTACGTTCTGAAATTGTTGATCAACTTGTGAAAACATTTTCTCATATCATACGCTGATTTAAAACGAGAAAACCAAAATAGAAAATAAAAAGTCGATTTGACTTATACGTGATCGATCTTGTTACATTCGATTAACTGTCGTCATAAGTTTCGCTTTTTCAATCAGCCAATGATATGGGTAGAACTGACGATAAATTTTCGGTCAATACCAGGTCAATATATTTTGGTAGAATAGAAAAATAAATTGAGGTTGAGAACAATTTCCGAATCTCTTAAAATATCTTTGCAAGCTGTTTTCTTCATTTTTTTTCGTTTTTTTTAAGATATAGAATAAAGGGAAAAAAAAGTTCATTTTCCATATTCTACAAATGATCCAGTCGAGTATCCTCATTTTTGTTGCTTACATTATACCGATTAGATTATTTCATGTTTTTTTTCTTTATTCTTTACAATATACTATTTGATAAAACAAGGATCTTTGAACAGAAATATTTTACGATAATCACCATTTTTCTTTCGATCGTTTGTTAATCAATTTAGATTCTATATATCGGTGAGATACTGATTTCTGCTATACTATCAGTGTTAGTATCTTGAAAAAGTTGTTTTTATTTTTTCTGTTAAGAGTCTTGTGTTGCTGGAAAAATACATTGAAGTGCCAATGATAATAATAAAATGAACCGTTGCCTGTAGATTCCCAGTATAAATGTACTTTTGGCAGCAGAATTTGTTTGTCCAAAGCTGATTTAACCAGTTACATGCGACAACATCGCTACAATTATATCGACCATGTTTCTTAGATTGAACGCCTTCCTCATGGTGCCCTGTGTCAGTTTTGCGATAGAATCTGAAAATCATCAGTTGGTCTAAAGAGGCACACTAAGAGATTTCATCAAGACAAAATAACTTTCAAAACTCTCATTACAACATTTATTGGTTATTTATATAAGAAATCTTGTAAGAGTACAGCGGGGTTAAAGAACTACTTGAGTGCAGATGAACGTGGCAGTGTAGTGTAAGTTGCAGTCACTATCATAAATGTGAACTGGCTGTATTTTGTTTTAAAGTTTTCTTAACTGGGTTTTATTGCTTTTATCATTTTATTCCTTTCTTTCTTTTACATCCTTTTTAATTTTCTTTTAACTTCAAGTGCTTTACAACTTAATAATAAGGATAGGCTTTTATAAATTGTTTGCAAATGCGAGTGTTTTTTTTTCTACTATATTTCATACTTTTTTTATTTTTTATCTTTTTAAGATCCTTTTATACTTACTGATCAAATCTTCATTTTAAAAGTAAGAAGAGATGGTGGTCTTCTATAAAGAAGTGGCAATCATATATATATATATATATATATATATGTCAAATATGTGGTGCAGTTCAATTTATATTACAAAAAGTTACAAAAAGTAGATTAGTAAAGTTAATGATATAAAATGGCGAAAACTCTTCGCACACAAAATTTTAAAAATCAAGCAAAAAATCCTCAAATTACCATATTAGAAAAACGCACTCCCTTAAATTTTCAAAAAAATTCAACCTTAGCTTTGCGACCGCACACTCCAAAAGTTTTTAATCTGTTAACAATAACACATTTCTAAAAAAAAAAAAATATTTCGATTCGCATTTAATCCTTCGTCTCCAATATTACCTGGATTTACTAAAAACAAAATAATTTCCATGCCTGAGGATGACTGTATGTACAGTTGAAAGTACTAGAAGATTAAAAAAAGACCTTTTACAGATTGTATTTTTTAAAAACAAGGATCAAAATATTGATCGAGTGGTTCGTAGGTTAATGCAAATTTAAAATTTTGTTTGCGAAGAGTTTTCGCCATTTTACATCATTAACTTTACTAATATACTTTTTGTATGAATGATTCATTGTAATATATATATATATATATATATATATATATATATATATATATATATATATATACCAAGTGTATAATTGGTATATACGGAATGAATTCCAATAACCAACAATTACTATTCTTAAAAGAGTGCTGAATACAAAGTAGAGCAGATATAATTATTTTTTATAATTTAATTTTTTAATTTAATTTTTTTTAATTTTTTTAATTTTTAATTTTAATATTAAATTTTATCATATAATTTTATAATTATTGATTAGTATAAATTATTTTTAATATTACACGTATTTAAAGATCTGAATAGCTATTATAACATGATTTCGTTGTCAAGCTTTTGAATCTTTCTATACTTCGTTTTTGATTGGTTAATCTAGCTTTTGTAACAATGTTTCCCCCTAGTGTAGGATCGTTAATTAATCTGAAACTTTTAAAACCATTTATTTTATTTTCAACATCATCACTTGATAAGACACTGAGTGTGTTGAAACAAAATGGCTATTTTTGTAGTGATTTTTTAACATACTTATGTTATAATTTTTTTATAAAAAAAAATTATATATATATATATATATATATATATATATATATATATATATATATATATATATTATCATTCTATATATAAAGAGATAGTAGATTTTATAATATTTATTTAAAAATGTTTGAATTTTTAAAAATTTTCGTTGATTTATTTAATTGCCACTCATAAAAACTCATTCATTCTTTTACAGGAATGACTTGTTCTTTCAAGTTTGAATTTTCTTGAAGATCCATTGATAGCGTTAAACCTTGAAAGATAATTCCTGAAAGTTAATCCCTGAAAGATAATCCCTGAATGTCAGTTCTTGAAAGTTAATTTCTGAAAGCTAATCCCTGAAAGTTAATCCCTGAAAGTTAATTTCTGAAAGTTAATCCCTGAAAGTTAATCCCTGAAAGTTAATTTCTGAAAGCTAATCCCTGAAAGTTAATCCCTGAAAGTTAATTTCTGAAAGTTAATTCCCGAACGTTAATCCCTGAAAATTAATTTCTGAAAGGTAATTCCTGAAAGTTAACCCTTGAAAATTAATTCCTAAAAGTTAATCCCAGAAAATTAATTCCTGCAAGTTAATCCCTGAATGTTAATCCCTGAAAGTTAATTTCTGAAAGTTAATTATTGAAAGTTAATTCCTGAAAATTAATTCCTGAAAGTTACTCCTTGAATGTTAATCCCTAAAAGTTAATTTCTGAAAGTTAATTCTTGAAAGTTAATTCCGGCAAATTAATCCTTGAATGTTAATCCCTGAGAGTTAATTTCTGAAAGTTAATTCCTGAAAGTTAATCCCTGATATATCAGATCTTTAGACACATCAAAGATTTGCTTTGATATAATGTCAATACTTTGAAAATAGCGTATAAATCAAAGAAAATATATTTTGTGTACATTTTATATGCCCTTTTTAGAATAGCTTTTATATAAATTTTTATTTCATTACGGAATTAAAAATTCCGTAAAAAGTAAGTCAAAAAATCAAAGGAAACAAGATAAATGTTGAAATTAATCATGAAATACATCTTGCAGCAAATAGATTTATGAATATAGGAAGATTCAGGGTCGATATACTCTGAAAGAATTCTGATATTATAATGAAAAAATACGTATCATATTTCCGATGTGACAGATCTTTTTTCTGATATTTGGAGAAATTTCATATTTTATTCCATAATATTATATCAATACACTCAAGAGTCTGGGACTGACAAAGCCAGCTGTCATATTCTCAGCCAGACTAAAAACTTTTTTCCATTTTAAAATTTAATTTTTTCTTTAAGCCTTCATAACAAAAAGTCAATACAATCACTCAGACGTAGTGACATGAAAATAAAGGCTGTGTCTCTTATTATTACCTCAGATATAAAACCGGAGAGACCTTTTGAATTATTGTAAAATGTCAATTGAAAAAAATAACATAAAACAATTAGCTAATGTCTATATCAAATATTGAAGTCTATAAAGCATGAACTTAGTTTTGTTTTACATATTTACCTTATGTAATTATCATTAAAACATTTTTGAACTGAGGCACATGCTGTTTGTTATCAAAATCTCCAACTCCAGAATCTACCATCCGAGACTTCCGAGCTCTGCATTCATAATAATAGCGCAACTGCAGATCATGCAAAGTTTGTGCATTTTTTACTTTGCAGCGACAACGATTCTTTCAGACTGAAATTTATTATTACTAGTTTATATATTTTATTCTTTACTTCAGAATATCTTCATATATAGCAATATGTTTGCTTGCACTTCATTAGGAAACGAATAGCTAGATTAGTTTTAACTGAATTTAATGACCAGGGTTTCTCAGGAATCTTGTCTCCAGCTCATATTTGAATCATCAAATATAAAGTTTTTTTTTAGTGTTTTTAGATAGCCGTAAAAGTAAGGTCCATTGAAAGACTGACCACCCGAAACCTGTCTGGGTGTTCCCCCCTTCGAGCCAGTATCCATATAATGAAGCAGTCAGGGAAACGGCCAGACAGAGAGCATATACGGGTTCGTTTTCCACGTTCGTATATTAGGGAGAAGTAAGAAGTTCCCTTTCACGTAGCAGAAGGAAGACATTTCTGATTAAGTGAGAAATCGTTTTTTGTTGTTTTTTTTCTTTGTACTTCCCAACCAAACAAGTGTCTTGAAAAGCATTCATTGCCATTGTTTATTTGACGACGATCACGGCCATAATCGATACGAACCCTGCAACATAGAGAGCGGCGGTGTATTCGCGAACAGCCGACCTTGGATGTCATCACAGATGGTGCAGAATCTCCTTCTCATACATCGAGATAAATATTGTTTAAAAATCATTTTTCTTAAACTATATTCTTCTCTTTAGAATGTATATTGTATATATGATATTTTACCTCATAATTATTTCATTTCAGAAGTAAAAGTATGATGTCAAACAATATTCACTAATATTAAAACAAACCAGAATTGCCTTCTTTATAGTACTTTTTTTTTCTTATTTCGTCGACCAATTTGCTCGTGATTTGGGCACCATCTCGTGTCCCATAACTTGTGCTAGATTAAATTCTAAGATAATGGTTAAAGGGTTGCTAATATGTCCTGAGTTCAATACCCAACGGATATTCGATACCTGTACGTGAGGTTTTAAAAAACAATCTAAGAGAAGCTTAATAAATATCTTATTCGCCAATTCGTTGCTGAATAATATTTCATGAGTTAGTTATGTCATATTACTAACGTGAAATGAGATCGATCCTCCGTTCTTTCTTCAAAGTTGTGAATACCTGCATTATTAAGACCATTACTTTTATTCATTTCTATTCGTATTATTAGTATCGTTAGTAACTAAGATATTTATCTGTTGTTATGCTAAGTCAAACATAACAAATGGTGTCAAAGTAAATGTACTGTTTAAACATCAGTTTGAGTTTAACCTATTAATGCCTACCGTAGAATCCGGTATTAATGAAAAAATAAAAATCACGTAGTAATTATAGGTTTCTAAATATCCTGGTATTAATTATAGGGTTCTAAATTCCTGGTATTAATTATAGGGTTCTAAATATCGTGGTATTAATTATAGGGTTCGAAAAATTTCGAATCAATTATAGGTTTCTAAAATATCCGATATTAATTATAAACTTTATTTTTTACGGTAGGCATTAATGTTTTACGTATTTAACATTCTGTTCAAAACAAATTTATCATCATCCTTATTATTTTAGTCTTTACATCAGCGTTTTTTTTTGTTTTTGTTTTTTTTTTAATAAAATGACAGCTGACCCCTTCCTTCCTTCCTTCCTTCCTTCCTTTCTTCCTCCAGCATTCTTCTTATTCTTCGAGTTGAATTTAACATTGTTGCTGTCTAAATTGATTGCAATTTTCTTTCGCATTTTCTAAACAATTCAATAGTGACTGGTAAAATTGTCAATTTCAGAATACATGGATTTAGTTCCCTAACAAAGTTTAGATATTTTCTAACTTCTCACGTTTTTTATCTTATGATTGGGGATCCAGTGTGGAATTGCAGTTACTAATCTGGCTGAATCATTCTACTTTTTATTCTATTTTTATTATATCTGGCCTTCTATCCTGAACAAGACGATCTGACTAGAGACTTGGAGAAATTGCTTTTCTTTTAACATTTTCTAGGAAAGCCTCTACTCTATGCGTGCACCATTTGTCTACACAGTCAAGTAAGGTTTTCATAGTTGCAATTTGTTATCGCATACCCACGGACGATAATCAATATATCCCCATTCACATAAATACAGTAGCAATTAAGTTGGTCTACATTTGTAGATTCATCTGCAGCTGTGCTGGGCAAAGTCTGCCTCCGGGCAGAGAGGATTCACAGACGAGGCTATGTCGAAAAGCAGAGTCTCATCTCGGGAAACAGCTAATCGACCCCGTTTTATACGCGGTCTAAGGGGAATTTTTGGCCGAGCCTACGGGCTCGGATACCCCACATTAATTTCGGCTTTGTGCCACATCTGACCGCGTGGGGCGGTTGGTAGGTATCCTACAGTTGGAGATTCGTCTCCATCTTTACTGTTCAAACTGTCTATCTACGGTTAGAGTGGATCCCCAGACGAGGCTATGTCGAAGTGGGGAGTCTTGTCTCAGCAAACAGCTACCCAATCCCGTTTTATAGAGACTACAGGCAAATTTTGGCTCGGATACCCCACATTATATTCGGCCTTGTGCCACATCTGACCACGTGGGGCAGTTGGTAGATATCCTGCAGTTGGAGATTCATTGTGGAATTCCATTGACTCACTTCTAGCAGTTAACTACTACTTCTACGCGCCGCTGACGAATCTTATATGTGTTGTTCTTGTCCTAAGTATTATCATTCATTACCAACCTTCTTGTGATTATTCTATTCTATAACCTTCGCTAGGTTACAACATTTTGTCGACTAGGATTAGTCAAAATTACAACACAATTATTACTTATTCATGTCATTATTGAATTTCTTCTAAGTTAGTTTGTTGCTTTCACTAAGAATAAGATTTAAGATTTAATCTTTTATTGAATAAGCAATTTCTGCTATTTGGTTATTTGTTTTGCTTTTGATATCATTCGTTCAAATATACTTGTTCTGGCCTATGATTTGTAGACATTTTGTTTTCATTTTCAAGTGTACATCTATCCTTAGGTTCTGTTGAATGCATTTACTTCTGTTTATAGCATTTCATGAAACTGATGTTACTCCTATCTTTATTCTCTCAATATGTTTAGTTTTCTATTATTATTTTCTTGCCTGAGTACCACACATTAAACCACATTGGAAAAGTACGACAAAATAGAATGTGTTGAAAGTCAACTTAACGAGAAAATGCAGCTTATTTCACTTGGGCTGCTTATATGCATAACTATTTCAGGTAAAAAATCTGTTCTTCGTCAATAGTAAATTTTCTGTTTTTTTTTTTTACATTATATACTTTTCGTTGCAATTATCTACATGCAAAGCATTTTGAAAGCTTTCGGTTCAGCTAAGTAATACTAAGTTGACCATGTCTAATACTGAGATGGGTGATTGGTTAAGAATATAAGTAAATTTTAGCCTTTAACTCACCTATCACGTGTAATGGAGCAAGTAAATTTGTTTAATAAAGATAATGGTAATATTAACCGTTTCCTTATAAGGAAACTTTCGGTATTCATTGTCTGAACAGCCAGTGCTTTTGCCGGTTAAAATGCATAAAATCTTTCCCTTAAAAAAATTTTTTTCGGGTAAATAGGTTTCTCAAGATTAGGAAGGAAACCTCTTCATCAATACCGGAAAGAGAGCTTTTCTTTAAAGTCGTGTGCAATGACAATGTCTTTATTATGTCATTATTTTCTCTTCTAGTTACACGTACTATCCCTTTTAGTTGTTGCTGCTGTTGAAATTCTTCGAGTGATGTGGTTTCTGTTATCTGGTACAGTTCTTTGTTAGTGATTGTGTAGCGCCAGTACACAAGATTCGAAGAAGGATGATCTTCGCTAAGAACTTCACTCGCTCAAGACCATTTTTAACCATTGATATGAGAATGCGGTTGTATACAGTTGATGACAATTTAGATATTTCTGCATGGTTTTGGTTCCATGATTTACATCCATTTGAATGTCTCGAACCGATGAAGCTATTTAAAACCATGACACAATAGTTTCAAGTTAATGTCTTCGTTTTGCAGTAATTTGCAGTGTTGAGCGAAACTGCATTTAGTTATCTATATTCAATTTCTTTATTTCCTATACTAAATTTTATATAACTCATCTATACACTGAGGTATTTAAAGTGTAACGTATTTACTAATTCCATATCCTAAAATTTTGTGATTGATTCAGAATATGTGCTATCATTGCTTTCATTTCAATTCACTATCATTGTTTTTGTTTCAGAAAAGTTTATTTTGAGTCCTACTTCTTGGAATAGTTGTATGTTGTTATATTTTTTTTTATTTAAGATCACTCATTATTTACATTATTCGGACTATTGTCCTCATCTTTGTCACCATATTTATTACCCTCAACCCTTTATTTCACTGGGGTAATCTGTTCTAGTTCCACGTGCCATGTTTTAATGGATGTCAGTTATCAGTTATCTCCTGTTAATTTCCCTCTGACATCTATTAAAAACATGGCACGTGGAACTAAAACAGTCTAGCCCAGTGAGCGAAATAAATGGTTCAGTTCGACATTCCAACCACCTGAAGAAGGCCGGAGCGTACAACGGCCGAAACGTTGTAATAAATATGGCGACAAAGATGAGGACAATAGTCCGAATAAGGTAAATAATGTACATAATACCTCATCTCAGAAATATAGACAGATACTGAAAGGCCGAAACGTTGTAATAAATATGGCGACAAAGATGAGGACAATAGTCCGAATAATGTAATTATAATAATACCTCATCTTAGAAATATAGACAGATACTGAAAGGCCGAAACGTTGTAATAAATATGGCGACAAAGATGAGGACAATAGTCCGAATAAGGTAAATAATCTACGTAATACCTTAACTCAGAAATATAGACACATACTGAAGATCACTCATATTTGAACTAAGAATACTTTCATCGGTATAGCCCCCACATCAGGAAATTGACCTTGGGTGGGAAATCAGGATGTGTAAATAGAATGTGTAAATAATCAGTGTCCATCTCTTCACATTTATCTGAAGGTATGCTCTAGAAAAAGATAGACTGGGGATTTCATTTTTCTCCTTGTCGTAATCCTGTTGAGGTTTAAAATGTTTCCGTATTGGGATACTACTCTGAAAAACACTTTGTAATTATTTTTTTCGTTTCACGTTGTCTTTTTAACTGTAATCAAACAGACCCCACTTAAAATGTTTTATTTTCAATATTCTATTTTGAATATTCTTTTTAATGTTTTAATTTATTTTAATTTCTAACATTCGACTAATTTTGGACATTTACTAAATTTTCTTTTCAGTTCTTGGAAAAACAAAAATTTTACTTTCTCTCTTTTGTTTTTCAATTGCAGGGAATCATAGTTGCTACACTGTTTTGCTACATGAACGGAGAGGTAAGTTGCCGAAAAATATCGTTTATTGTTGTCTGTTCTATTTGTGGGTGTATGTCTATGCGAAAAATCCAGTCAAACGTAACGGAAAACAAGATAAACAAATCAGTATTATTCCTTTGAACTAATATCCCATTCAGTTTAGACGCAAGTACAACGGAAGTGACACTTGAACTTAAAATGTCCGAATGTTCATGCAAAAGATGAAATGTTTTCATGAACGAATTTGAAATGTTAATTGGATTATTCATCTAGTTACGCTTCAAGTTTTACATTTTTTTACTGATTTCAACCAAGTTCCATTTCCCATCATGCTTGTACCTATAAATACATAATTTTCGGCGTTTCGAAAAATATTAGGGAACAAAAATTTGGCTTGAATGTTTTAATTAT